TCCCAAATAGTTGAAATATGAATTTAGACATTATTTGAGTACTTTGCTTCCTTTAAATAGCACATACATAATCACAGTGATACAGAGAATTATGCATAGCCCCACTCTAATTTGACATATAAACAAAACTTTCTTCCTCTGCCCCTTTCTCCATACCAACCACCTAGCTAACTTTTTAAAAATTTCAGTTCATTTTTCTGTTTACACTGGGAATGAGGAGCACAATGAGATTTGAGATTGACCCTCAAGACTCATAGTAAAATTTCAATAATCTTGGTGAGGTTTTTTGTTTTGGTTTTGATTTTGTTTATTCTGGGGGTTGAACACAAGGCCAAACCTTTTTAACTTTTAATGTGTGTTCTTAGGGTTGCCATCTACCAGGCTTGGCACCTTTCTAGAGAATCGAGTGAATGACTTTCTGAGGCGACAGAATCATCCTGAATCAGGAGAGGTTACTGTTAGGGTTGTTCATGCTTCCGACAAAACTGTGGAGGTCAAACCAGGCATGAAAGCAAGGTATCTATTAATTTCCCTTTTTTTCTCTTATGGATCCATAGTTGTTCATACCTAGGTTCTATTGGTCATTCCAACCTGAATGATATATGTTGTGGTTTTTCCCCCCCAATCCGTATTGTGTAGGTTTGTAGATAGTGGAGAGATGGCAGAATCCTTTCCATACCGAACCAAAGCCCTCTTTGCCTTTGAAGAGATTGATGGTGTTGACTTGTGCTTCTTTGGCATGCATGTTCAAGAGTATGGCTCTGACTGCCCTCCACCCAACCAGAGGTATGACTGCCTTGCTATGGCTAATTTCTAATTTGTGTAGGGCTTGAAAATAATAACAGATGAAGAAGCATTACAGGGTACTAAAGGGTAGTGTGCTTGGTTGGAACATGAAAAATCTTAAGTATTAAGTCAAACAGATTGACAAAATGGCCCCCAAACAGAAAATAACTATACAACGCTTCTCTTAAAGGATATGAGTAGCAGCCTGGAACTAAACTCATACATTTCAGAAAATTGACTTAAATCTAGGTTGCTAATATTTGCAGTTGGATGGTTAGAAAAATCTGTCTCCCGAAACAGTATGAAAGGCAAGAATAAGAATTCTGGGGCTGGGGATGTGGCTCAAGCAGTAGTGCGCTCGCCTGGCATGCGTGCAGCCCGGGTTCAATCCTTAGCACCACATACAAACAAAGATGTTGTGTCCTCCGAAAACTAAAAAATAAATATTAAGAAACTCTGAAAAAAAAAGAATTCTGTCAGAATATATTCAATATATATATTGATTGATATAATATGTGCCATGCTGGGTATTAATACAGGAAGTTTAAGGCTCATGAATTTCTCTGAAAGGTCCACAATCTATTTGTTTACTAATGTTAACAAGCACTATAGTTGAAAGGGTGAGCAAAGAATGTAGAAGGAAGGGGAAGGTATTTTTAGCCACATAAAATAACAATTCTTTTTGATATGTCTTATTTTTTCTCCGTTTTTGATATAGGAGAGTATATATATCTTACCTCGATAGTGTTCATTTCTTCCGTCCTAAATGCTTGAGGACTGCAGTCTATCATGAAATTCTAATTGGATATTTGGAATATGTCAAGAAATTGGGGTAAGTATATTGATTATTTCTTTTAAACAACATTATTGTGGTGAGAACATAGGCGGAAATGTTTAAATACATAATTTTTACCTTTTCCTGACCTTGGTCTTATCTCACATTAAGTATAATCTGAACATTATTGGAGCCCCTCTGAAGTTAATGCTACTAATACAAAGGATTATTTTCCTAGTTTTACCCATCCTGCTTTAGCTTTATTTATTTATTTATTTATTTTAATATTTATTTTTAGTTATCGGCAGACACAACATCTTTGTTTGTATGTGGTGCTGAGGATCAAACCTGGTCCGCACGCATGCCAGGCGAGCGCGTTACCACTTAAGCCACATCCCTAGCTTATTTTCTTCATTGAAATTGAATGTTGGTTTGCAATCTCCCTCCCCTCACTCCATCCCTCCTACATACTGGGGATGGAAACCAGGGGCTACATCCATATCCCTTTCTAATCTTGAGATGGGGGTCTCACTGAATTACCCCATCTGGACTTGAACTTGTGATCTTCCTGCCTCAGTCTTGCAAGAAGCTAGTTATGGTGTGTGCCACTGTCCCCCACTAAGGGCCAAATCTTTATTTATTTTATTATAGATGCACACAACACAATGCCTTTATTTTTTTGTGGTGCTGGGGATCGAACCCGGGTCCCGCCCGTGCTAGGCAAGCGCTCTATTGCTGAGCCACAATCCCAGCCCCATTAAAGGCCAAATCTTGAACTGCATTTGATCTTGTGACACCTGAGTATCAAGACCAAAAACAAAACTGTTTTGAAGGTATCCTGGAGAATAAAACGTGGACCAAGGCAAGGTGGTGATACACTTTTCAGTTTGCCTTTCAGTTTGCCTTTCATTTAACCTTTTGTTAAAATGGGCCATGTTCCTTGCATTAAAATCTTCGTTTGGGGGTTGGGGTTTGTGGCTCAGTGGTAGAGCGCTTGCCTTACAAGTGTGAGACCCTGGGTTCTATCCTTAGCACCACATAAAAATAAGTAAAATGAAGGTACTGTGTCCAACTACAACTAAAAAATAAATATTTTTTAAAAATTTCTTTTGGTGGTAAAATATAAATCTGGGATTTTGATACAGAGCTAAATAATCCCCTCTCTGAATGAAATTCGCCATACTACTTCATGGCCTCCTAAATATAGTAGGCAATGTGAGATCCATTTTTATTGCTGTGTATTATGCCTAGTTCTGGCCTAAGAATTTTGATCTGATGTTAGATTGTGCAGTTTGTTATCTTGAGAAAAATTATTGGCTTCTGTATCGGCTCTACCCATGTGGTTTGAAGTTTAAATTCTACCAGGTGCAGTGGTGCACATGTAATCCCAGCTACTTCATAGTATAGGCAGGAGAATCTCTGAACCTAGGGCAGCCTGGACAACATAGTGAGATCCCATCTCTTATAGGCGTGCATCACTGCTCTTAGCCTTCATATTAAGCAGGAGGCTAAATTGACAGGCCAGAACCCTGTCTTAAAAGAAAAAGGGATAGGAGTATAGTTTCAATGGTAGAGCACCCCTGGGTTAAATCCCCAGTGCCACAATAAATAAAATATAACATTCTGTCTAGAATGAATGACCTCTTGGTATTCCTTCTCTTTGTGGTGTTAGATATACAACAGGGCATATTTGGGCATGTCCACCAAGTGAGGGGGATGACTACATCTTTCATTGCCATCCTCCTGACCAGAAGATACCCAAACCCAAGCGACTGCAGGAGTGGTACAAAAAGATGCTTGACAAGGCTGTGTCAGAGCGTATTGTCCATGACTACAAGGTCAGTTGGAGTATGGAAATATACTGTATTCTTGGCTACTCTGTTTTCTGTCATTTTACAAGTCTTCTGTTTGCTTCTTCCACATAATTGGTACAATTATGCTAATTTGATAAAGTGTCTTTATTTTATACAGATGAAAATTTTCAAAGAAACACTAGGTGTTAATAGTTGTAGATCAAGAAATCTGTTATGGCCAATTAAAATAATAGACATGTTATTTAAATATCAATGAATTTAGACCATCTTATGTGCACTAAGTTGAGGAAAACAACAAATTTTTTTTTTCCAAGCAGCCCAGCAAACCATTCAATAGCAACAATAGTTCCCAGTATTGTAGTTTGGGTCATTTTGAACATAAAGCCTCCTGGAATGCCAATAACATAATAATTAGAAGGAGGGCTGCTAGTGCTAGTGCCATCTCTTAGACCTAGCAGGAAAATACTACACCATGGGTTTATGTTAAAGCAGAATACATTCCTATCATCATGAGTATAGGAAAGGAAAATTGGGATACTGACATTAGACCAGGTTTTTTCACTATATTCATGCATGACACTAAATATCTTCCTGACATATGGGTTAGGGATAAAATCTCAGCCAGCTTTTAGAAGACATTTTAATACTTCATCTTGTGTCATATAATCAATGCTTTAAGAAAACATAGACATTACTGTTTGTACTACGATGTTTTTACAGGATATTTTTAAACAAGCTACTGAAGATCGATTGACAAGTGCAAAGGAATTGCCATACTTTGAGGGTGATTTTTGGCCCAATGTTTTGGAAGAGAGTATTAAGGAACTGGAACAAGAGGAAGAAGAGAGAAAGCGGGAAGAAAACACCAGCAATGAAAGCACTGATGTAAGGGCATTGTTTTCTTTTCACTGTCTGCCTTGAATCTTACAAATAATCCAAATAGGAGCTTCACTTTTTACCTTGGTGTGAAAGAACTCTTTTTAAATTGAGCAAGATGGCTGAGGACATAGCTCAAGAGGCATGTGTGGGGTCCTGGGTTCCATCTCCAGCACCATGAAAAAATTTTGGCAAAAAATGGTGGCTTAGAAAGATTTCTATATGACTCTGTTTCTCTGATTATCATCCTCTTTAGCATCAGACTCCCTTTCACAATTTAGATGAGTGATAAAAGAAACAAGAATTAATTCTGAAAAACTGACTTTGTGTGTGGTGTCGTTTTTTTCCCCCATACTGGAAATTAAAACCCAGGGCCTTGAGCATGCTAGGCATACCACTGAGCTACATCCCCAGTCGAAAGAATTATCTATCTAAAGGGCTTAGTTATGGATATTTTAGACCTTGAGGGCCATATTACTTCTGGCATTTGTTTTCCACCTTTTTCCTTCCAGTCTCAGGAATAAAAACACAGGGCCTCATGCACATGAGACAAGCACTTTACTGTAGACCTGCATTCTCAGCCACCGCCACATTCCCCCCTTTAACTTTTAACTAAGAGCCCTTTCGTATGGCATTTATGGCTATTAAAAATTAGGCCTGGGACAGTTTTGCTTCTCCATCACATAGAACTTGGCTTAGTAACCCTGACAGTCACTTTCCAGAGCATATCTAGAATTCACTGTACTGGCTTTTTTTTTTTTTTTTTTTTAATTGGAGTCCTAATTAGATTTCTGACTTATAAAGAAATCCTAGGGTTGGGGATGTGATGTTGGCTTAGTGGTAGAGCGTAGAACGCTTGCCTAGTATGGATGAGGCCCTGGGTTTAATCCCCAACACCATATACACACACATACAAATTCTACATAGCCTTTTAGTTTAAAATATTTGGTTTTTCAGGATGGGTTGGAGCTTTTTTGTTGGTTTGTTTTATAGGCTCATACAATTCTAGAATGAAAGTTGGTAGGATACAAAACCAAGGTCTTATGGATCACCCGCTCCATGCACTCTTTACTACCCCATACAGCCATTCCTTGTTTCTTAGCCAAGATCTGGGCTTTGTTCCATCATCGGGGTCTGTGCACTGTGAGGCTCTTCTAGGCAGAATGTTAGGGATGCATCAATCACCTTAATGAAGGATCAGGTCTGCACTGGAGAAAATTGGGGCAAATATATTAGTAAATATTAGTTTGCTATAAATAGCAGCTTAAAAAGGAGAGAGTAAGTGAAGAGCTTCTGAAATATAAGTTTAATCTCTAGCTTAAAAGGGGAGAAGACTCATTTTATCTTCAGAATTGTTTACAAATCACTTCTTAATAAAACCTTAATGTTTTCTTGTCTTTCTGGCCACCATATAGGTGACAAAAGGAGACAGCAAAAATGCTAAAAAGAAAAATAATAAGAAAACCAGCAAAAACAAGAGCAGCTTGAGTAGGGGTAACAAAAAGAAGCCTGGTATGCCCAATGTATCTAATGACCTCTCCCAGAAACTATATGCAACCATGGAGAAACATAAAGAGGTAAGAGGCAATCTCCAAGAGGTGGGTGAAAGAAACGACCCACCCCAGTTGGCATTTATGATGTAAGCACCAAACTACTGAAAATTCAGGGGGGAGAACTCATTTGATGGTGATTGGGAAGAAAAAAAGAGTCTTAGTGGGTTTGTCGTTGGATTTATAACTCAAAAGTATATGCATAGTTTGTCTAACTCTATAACATTGTCTGTATTTTTTTATGCGGTGCTGAGGATTGAATGCAGTGCCTCACCCATGCTAAGCAAGCGCTCTACCACTGAGCCACAACCATAGCCCTCGAATGTACTTGGTGTTGGTGAATGTTGTTTTTCTAAACTCCTTAGAACTCCCATTAGCCAGCTGGGCATGGTGGCACACACCTATAATCCCAGCAGCTTGGGACACTGAGGCAGGAGAATCACGAGTTCAAAGCCAGCCTCAGCAACTGTGAGGCACTAAGCAACTCCATGAGACCTGTCCCTTAATAAAATACAAAATAGGACTGGGGAGTGGCTCAGTGGTCAGGTAACCCTGAGTTCAATCCCCAGTACAAAAAAAAAAAAAATTTTTTTTAACTCCATTAGCCATTTCAGTTTGTTTGTAATGGTGCTTTTGAGAAAGAAATGGGGAAAGAAAAAAAAATTGTTTGTTCCTGCTTTGGAACCAGGCATGGTGGGGCATGCCTCTAATCTCAACAATTTATTGAGACCGTGTCTCAAAGGGATGGGAATGTGATTCAGTGGTGGGTTTTAAAAAAGTAAAATTAGGAAGTAGAATTGGAGAAAAATCAATCATTCACATATATACTTATAACCCTTTTTTCTGATTAATTTTTTACATTGTTTATTTGTTATGGATAGTTGAGGATATAACTGGAGTTTCCCATAAGAAAAAAACAAGACATAAAGTTTTGTGGTGGTGGTGGTTTCAATATCACAGTTCAATTCTTATAGACACCAAGTTATTCTTTTACAGAAAGTGGCAGTTATGTAGAGAGGGAACAGAAAGTTTGATTTTAAATATGGAATTACAACTATTGATTAAGCAGTTTCTTTGGAAGAGAAATAAATATGCAGAACTCTCTCCTGTAATTTATACCTTATAGGTATTCAAGCATCTTTTCCCATAGTCCACTACTGTGCCCATCCCCCTTTTTTATTGAGGCCTAGCAAACTGACGTTATCAGAGAAATATAGGCTTGATACCATAACCTCAGCCATGCTATCAAAATGAAGAATTCCTGAGTTACTAATTGGGTATTAATTATCAACAATTGATAGTTACTAGTTCTTTTAAGTTTTAAATTGTGGACACTTTCATTCCATGACTAGGTTTTAATCTTAGGGCCTGAATTCTGAGGCTCTGGGGTAGGTTATAAATCAGTGTATTAGCTTCACTATAGATAGTAACAAAAGCACTGGTTAGCCCAGTACATTGCAGATCTTCCTGCCAGTCTGCTAGAAACTGGCTAAAACCAGCATGGGCTGCATAGCAGGTTATTGTAATTAGTTGAATAAAAGTTTATAGTTCTAGGGCTGGGGCTGCTACTCAGTGGTAGCACCTGGTATGTGTACGGCACTGGTTCAATTCTCAGCACCACATATAAATAAAAGTCTATCAACAATTAAAAAATAATTTAAAAAGAGAGTTCATAGTTCTAGCCAGGCACAGTGGTGCACACCTGTAATCCTAGTAACATATGAGAGGCTGGGGCAGGAAGATCGCAAATTCAAGACCAGCCTCAGCAACTCGGCAAGACCCTATCTCAGAAAATAAGAAGAGGATGTAGCTCACAGTGATAGTTCCATCCCCAGTACCAATTTCAACACGCCGGTTGCTTGTTGCCGCCTCTAATGGTTATGGGAAATGATGTTTGTTCCAAGTTTCCAACCTTCAATGAATAAAAATTTGGGGGTTTTTTTGTTGTTGTTTTTCCACTCAAGAAACTTACCCTAGTGTCACCATCTAATGTCTGGTCCTGTGTTCTATTCCAGGATATTGAGTCAAATTGTGTTGAGTTGCCTTTCATTTTGAATTGTTGCCAGCTTTTTCTTCAGAGACATGAGTATTTTCTTGATGAGTAGTTAAGCAGACTTTCTCTTTTTGAGCTTTGTGATTGTTTGCTCGCAATTAGATTCAGGTTAAACCATTAGTTCCATCTTAGACTGTCTTGAAGCAAAATGTATACTGGGCCTGATCTAGACCATTCTTATTTTTGAAGGATTTATTGAATCAAGTGGGAAAGATAGATACATTATACCTAATCAGAGAGAACAGAGAGAGATAGGTGAATAGGAGGTAAGTGTGGTAGTAAGCTAACCCTGCATCTACTCAGCCCGCTGGGTGCTGCTCAACTTCTTTCTGCTATAGTTGTACTCTATAGAATAAGCTTATCTGTTTGGCAGGTCTTCTTTGTGATCCGCCTCATCGCCGGCCCTGCTGCCAACTCCCTGCCTCCCATCGTTGATCCTGACCCTCTCATCCCTTGTGATCTGATGGATGGTCGGGATGCATTCCTTACCCTGGCCCGGGACAAGCATCTGGAGTTCTCTTCACTCCGACGAGCCCAGTGGTCCACCATGTGCATGCTGGTGGAACTGCACACACAGAGCCAGGACCGCTTTGTCTACACCTGCAATGAGTGCAAGCACCACGTGGAGACACGCTGGCACTGCACCGTATGTGAGGTCAGTACCAGGTTGTAGGAAGGAGGGGGTTCTGGGTCTTTATTGTCTTAAAGGGTAATGCAGACACATGTTACACAGTTGAGAAAGGGCCCAACCTCATGTTTGCTTTTTTTGTTTGGCTTGGTTTTAATTGTGGATGGACATGATATTTATTTTTTTATGTGGTGCTAAGGATCAAACCCAGTGCCTCGCACTTTTGAGGCAAGCACTCCATCACTGAGCTACAACCCCAGTCCCTGGCCTCATATTTGAAGAGGCTAATTTTACCTTGTTTAAAAAGGAGCTTCTGTAGCCTATGCCAAGTATCTAAAAATGCTTTTGAATGATTTAATTCTCCGAGAATTGACCTGCACTCATTTTTTCCCCAGGATTATGATTTGTGTATCACCTGCTATAACACTAAAAACCATGATCACAAAATGGAGAAATTAGGTCTCGGCTTAGATGATGAGAGCAATAACCAGCAGGCTGCAGCCACCCAGAGCCCAGGAGATTCTCGTCGCCTGAGCATCCAGCGCTGTATTCAGTCTCTGGTCCATGCCTGCCAGTGCCGCAATGCCAACTGCTCTCTGCCCTCTTGCCAGAAGATGAAGCGGGTTGTGCAGCATACCAAGGGCTGCAAACGGAAAACCAATGGTGGGTGCCCTATCTGCAAGCAGCTCATTGCCCTCTGCTGCTACCATGCCAAGCACTGCCAGGAGAACAAGTGCCCTGTGCCGTTCTGCCTCAACATCAAGCAAAAGCTCCGACAACAGCAACTGCAGCACCGGCTCCAGCAGGCTCAGATGCTCCGCAGGAGGATGGCCAGCATGCAGCGGACTGGTGTGGTGGGGCAACAGGGCCTGCCCTCCCCAACTCCTGCCACTCCAACCACACCAACTGGCCAACAGCCAACCACACCACAGACACCCCAGCCCCAGCCCACCTCTCAGCCCCAGCCTACCCCTCCCAACAGCATGCCCCCCTATTTACCCAGGACTCAGGCTGCTGGCCCTGTGTCCCAGGGTAAGGCAGCAGGCCAGGTGACCCCTCCAACCCCCCCTCAGACTGCTCAACCACCCCTTCCAGGCCCCCCACCTGCAGCAGTAGAAATGGCAATGCAAATTCAGAGGGCAGCTGAGACGCAGCGCCAGATGGCCCATGTTCAAATTTTCCAAAGGCCAATCCAACACCAGATGCCCCAGATGCCCCCCATGGCCCCCATGGGAATGAACCCACCTCCCATGGCCAGAGGTCCCACTGGGCATCTGGAGCCAGGAATGGGACCTACAGGAATGCAGCAACAGCCACCCTGGGCCCAAGGAGGACTGCCTCAGCCCCAGCAACTCCAGTCCGGCATGCCAAGACCAGCCATGATGTCAGTGGCCCAACATGGTCAGCCCTTGAACATGGCTCCACAACCAGGATTGGGCCAGGTAGGTGTGAGCCCACTCAAACCAGGCACTGTGTCTCAACAAGCCTTACAAAACCTCTTGCGGACTCTCAGGTCTCCCAGCTCTCCCCTACAGCAGCAACAGGTGCTTAGTATCCTTCACGCCAATCCCCAGCTATTGGCTGCATTCATCAAGCAGCGGGCTGCCAAGTATGCCAACTCTAATCCACAACCTCTTCCTGGGCAGCCAGGCATGCCCCAGGGGCAGCCAGGGCTGCAACCACCTACCATGCCAGGTCAGCAGGGCGTCCACTCCAGTCCAGCCATGCAGAACATGAATCCCATGCAAGCAGGAGTCCAGAGGGCTGGCCTGCCCCAGCAGCAGCCACAGCAGCAACTCCAACCACCTATGGGAGGGATGAGCCCCCAAGCGCAGCAAATGAACATGAATCACAACACCATGCCTTCACAATTCCGAGACATCTTAAGACGACAGCAGATGATACAACAGCAGCAGCAGCAACAGGGAGCAGGGCCTGGAATCGGCCCAGGAATGGCCAACCATAACCAATTCCAACAACCCCAAGGAGTTGGCTACCCCCCACAGCAGCAACAGCAGCAGCAACAGCAGCGGATGCAACATCACATGCAGCAGATGCAACAAGGGAATATGGGACAGATGGGCCAGCTCCCCCAAGCCTTGGGAGCAGAGGCAGGAGCCAGTCTACAGGCCTATCAACAACGGCTCCTTCAGCAACAGATGGGATCCCCTGCTCAACCCAACCCCATGAGCCCCCAACAGCATATACTCCCAAATCAGGCTCAGTCCCCTCACCTACAAGGCCAGCAGATCCCCAATTCTCTCTCCAATCAAGTGCGCTCTCCCCAGCCTGTCCCTTCTCCACGGCCGCAATCCCAACCCCCCCACTCCAGCCCATCCCCGAGGATGCAGCCTCAGCCTTCTCCACACCACGTTTCCCCACAGACCAGTTCCCCACATCCTGGACTGGTTGCTGCCCAGGCCACCAATCCCATGGAACAAGGGCATTTTGCCAGCCCGGACCAGAATTCAATGCTTTCTCAGCTCGCTAGCAATCCAGGCATGGCAAACCTCCATGGTGCAAGCGCCACGGACCTGGGACTCAGCACCGATAACTCAGACTTGAATTCGAACCTCTCACAGAGTACACTAGACATACACTAGAGACACCTTGTAGTATTTTGGGAGCAAAAAAATTATTTTCTCTTAAGACTTTTTGTACTGAAAACAATTTTTTTGAATCTTTCTTAGCCTAAAAGACAATTTTCTTTGGAACACATAAGAACTGTGCAGTAGCCGTTTGTGGTTTAAGCAAACATGCAAGATGAACCTGAGGGATGATAGAATACAAAGAATATATTTTTGTTATGGCTGGTTACACCCAGTCTTTTTTTCCCCCCTTGTGTGTGTGGTTTAAGTGTGCACTGGGAGGAGGCTGAGGTCTGAAGCCAACCGTATGCTCCTGCCTTGCACCTCCAATAGGTTTTATTATTTTTTTTAAATTAATGAAAATATGTAATATTAATAGTTATTATTTACTGGTGCAGATGGTTGACATTTTTCCCTATTTTCCTCACTTTATGGAAGAGTTAAAAAAAAAAAAGAACATTTCTAAAACCAGAGGACAAAAGGGGTTAATGTTACTTTAAAATTACATTCTATATATATATAAATATATATAAATATATATTAAAATACCGATTTTCTTTCTCTGGGTGCAAAGATGTTCATTCTTTTAAAAATGTTTAAAAAAAAATTCCCCCTTTCCTCCCTTCAAGTCAACTTTTGTGCTCCAGAAAATTTTCTATTCCGTAAGTCTGAGCGTAAAACTTCAAGTATTAAAATAATTTGTACATGTAGAGAGGAAAAAATGACTTTTTCAAAATATACAGGGGCAGCTGCCAAATCGATGTATTATATATTGTGGTTTCTGTTTCTTGAAAGAATTTTTTTTTGTTATTTTTACATCTAACAAAGGAAAAAATTTAAAAAGAGGGTAAGAAACGATTCCAGTGGGATGATTTTAACATACGAAATGTCCCTGGGGTTTCTTCTTTGCTTGCTTTCTTCCTCCTTACCCTGCCCCCCACACACACACACTTTCTGTAAAACTTGAAAATAGAAAGCAAAAACCCTCAACTGTTGTAAATCATGCAATTAAAGTTGATTACTTATAAATATGAACTTTGGATCACTGTATAGACTGTTAAATTTGATTTCTTATTACCTATTGTTAAATAAACTGTGTGAGACAGACACCTGAGCTTTGTTTCACTTCTTGGGGGCACATCTTTGTCTTAAGTGCCCAATTGCTTAGGATTAAGAGGGGAAAAGGAAGACCTTAGTTTACAGCTGCCTTAACAGATATAATGAATTCCTATAGATGTTGGAGAATTTGTCCAAAGTTCAGAGAGAAAAAAATACTACATTCCAAATACCAGTAAGATGTCAAAAGTTGAGCTGACAGGATCATCATCATCTAAGTAAGGATGACCTCGGTGTCTTCTAATTATCCTCTTACCGGGGATGAAAATGAGGACCCACGGGATCACACCTGCCTAAGTCAAAAGGAAAATCACTAGAAGTTTTGCTACCACTGCCAATTGCCCAACAAGAATTGGGTTAGAGGAACCAAGTTGAAGGAAAATGTGTGGAAAGAAAGAAAATCCTGGACAGCTGAGATTACAGTGTAAGCCCAGCAGTTTGCTAGATGTTGACTATGACCAGGTGTTTTTAATTAGAACACTATTACTGAGCTGCTTTGATATCAATTGGCAGGTCTGGTCTGGTCTTGGTAGAGCTTTGGACTAACCATGATATATGGCAGGTATATATACCTCAACTCTTGCGTTTTATGGTCTCAAAACAGATAAGCATTTTCTGACGGGAACTTGTACACTGTTCATCAGAGCTAACTCTGAGAAAGGTATCAAGCACCTACCTGCCTCAGGTCACCAAACCAGCAGATAAATAGGGAGGGGGTACCTAGATCTGTGCCAGGCTGTCCAGCACTTGGTGAGGATACAGTCCTGCCTTGGAGCTAGCCAAGGTCTAGAGAAGGAAGGAGGTGTTTACTAAGGTAAAGAACAGCAAAAATCTAATGCTAAGTGACAAGGAATGCAAGAGGGGTTGGGGGAGAAAGTTTTAATAGGAATTGGGAAAGTGCCTGGGAAGGATAGTGTGGAAGCTAGATCTTAGAGGGGAGATAAATTGGGAAGTAGAAGTGAGAAGGAACTTGGCCCAGAACCAGATCCTGCTGGGGAGCATCTCCAGACCCACTGGCGGAAACCCCACTGTGGAGAGTGGTGAGTGCCACTTAATCCCCTAGGACCAGACACCCAGGATTAGCCTGAAGCCCCAAATGGGAGATCCATGAATTCCATTACATTCCCAAGCAGTAATTTCCCAGTGTTCATAGCTGTGCCTCTGACTAAAAAATGGCTGGGGATATATAGCTCAGTGGGTAGAGTGCTTGCCTTACGTGCCTAAGGCCCTGGGTTCAATCCCCAGCACCACAAAAACAAAAGTACTAAACTTGCACACATGTTGCATGGAGGAAGTAAGGGTGAAATGCTTAAGTGGAGATGAAGAAAAATAGCTGCCCCAGACCAGAAGTAGTGCTAAGGAGGGGGGAAGACATAGATTAATCCAGAGTCACAGAGTGCAAGGTAATTTCAGTGATTATGTAATTTTTCCCACCCTTGGTTCACAGTGAAAACTTAGATCAAAGGGCCCAATTCTTCAACTGGGCAGCTTCTAATCATCACTTCACAATATTCCAGGTGCTTTCATCTACTTAGGTTCCTAAGAGTCCCATTTGACAAAAAAAAAAAAAGTTCAAAACCACACAGCTAGTAAAAGACTTACCAGGGAGTTGACGGTCTGCTGAACTTGCAAGTTCTTCTTCCATAGCCTTCATCTCCTTTATTATAGAAAAGTCCTGGTAATGGCTGTAAAATTAACCAATACCTGTGACCCAAGCCAGTTTAAGGATATATTGAATAAAAGTGGAAAAGACTTGTACACTAAAAACCACAAACGTTGAAAGACCTGAATAAACAAACGACATGATTTTTCATGGACTGTGAAACCCGTCATTGCTAAGAAAACAATACCACTGTATTGATCTAGAAATTCAGTCACTATCAGGCTATCTGCTAACATCTGAGCATGGTGACACAGGCCTGTAATCATAGCTACTCTCCAGGAGACTGAAGTAGGAAGAATGAAAGTTCAAGGTCAGTATGAGCCATCTAGCAAGATTATATTTGTGGCTGGGGATGTAGCTCAGTGGTAAAGTGTTCCTGGGTTCAATCCCCAGTACCAAGCAGGTGTGAGAAAATGTGGGCTTAGCCAGAAACATTAAAACAATCTTGCAGGGCTGGGGATGTGGCTCAAGCGGTATCGGGTTCGATCCTCAGCACCACATACAAACAAAGATGTTGTGTCCGCCGAGAACTAAGAAAAAAATAAATGTTAAAATTCTCTCTCTCTGTCCCCCTCTCTCTCTCACTCTCATTGTTTTTGTTTTTTAATCTTGCAAAACAGCAAAAAAATTGAACTAATACTTTCTCAAAATTGGCACTGGCATAAAAACAGTCATTTTGATCAATGGAACAGAACTGACAGTTCAGAAATAAACCCCATATATTTATGGTCAAATGATTTTTTTTTTAGATTTTTTTTTAATATTTATTTTTTAGTTCTTGGCGGACACAACATCTTTGTTGGTATGTGGTGCTGAGGATCGAACCTGGGCCACACGCATGCCAGGCGAGCGCGCTACCGCTTGAGCCACATCCCCAGACCCTCAAATGATTTTTTTTATAGGGTTGCAGACAATTCAATGGAGAAAGAATAATTTTTTCAACTGAGTACTAGAACAACTAGAATCTACATTCAAAAGAATGAAATTCTTTAAAAAGTTAAAATGGATCACAGTCCTAAAAGTAAGAGCTAAAATATAAAGATGATAGAAAAGGGCTGGGGATGTGGCTCAGGCGGTAGCGTGCTTGCCTTGCATGCGTGCAGCCCGGGTTCGATCCTCAGCAGCACATACAAACAAAGATTGTGTCCGCTGAAAACTAAAAAAATAAGTATTAAAAATTCTAAAAAAAAAAAAAAAAAAGATGATAGGAAAAAATAGGCATAAATCTTGATGACCTTACATGAGGCAATGATTTCTTAGATAAGACAACTAAAGTACAAACAACAAAGAAAAAATAAATTAGACTTCACCGAATTGAAAACTGCACATCAGGGCTGGGATTATGGCTTAGTAGTAGGGTGCACTGGGTTCAATCCTCAGCACCACATAAAAATGAATAAATAAATAAAGGCATTGTGTCCATCTACAACTAAAAATATATTTTTAAAACAACTGCATCAAAGGACACAATGAAGAAAGTATGGGGCTGGGAATGTGGCTCAAGCAGTATCGCGCTTGCCTGGCATGCATGCAGCCCAGGTTCGATCCTCAGCAGCACCATATACAAACGGAGATGTTGTATCCGCCGAAAGCTAGAAAATGAATATTAAAGAATTCTCTCTCTCTCTCTCTCTCTCTCTCTCTCTCTCTCTCTCTCTGTCTCTTTAAAAAAAAAGAAAAAGTAAAAAAACAATACCCAGAATAGGATATGCAAATCATATTTGGGTATCCAGCCTATATAAAGAAATCTTAAATCCAACAATAAAAAGATGTACCAGGTGCAGTGGTACACACTTGTAATCCTAGCAACTCAGGAGGCTGAGGCAGGAAGATTGCACCTTTGAGGCCAGCCTCAGCAATTTATCAAGGCCCTGAACAACTTAATGAGACCCTTTCTCAAAAGAAAAAATTAAAAGGGCTGGGGATGTGGCTTAAGCACCCTTGAGTTTAAGCCCCAGTACCAAAAAATAAAATAAAATAAATGAATAAATGTAATAAAAGATAGATGGGAATTCTTTTTTTTTTTTTTATGAGCAAAGGAGGGGTTGGGGAGCTCAGTGGTAGAGTATTTGCGTGAACATGCTGTCAGTTCTTCTGGGTGACAGAAGAGGCCCTGGGTTCCATCCCCAACACTGGGAAGGGGGGAAAAAAAAAACAGGCAAAGGACAGACATTTCTCCAAAGAAGATATAAAAGTGGCCAATGAGCACATGAAAAGATGTTCAACATCAGGAAAATGCAAGCCAAAACTGAGATATGGCTTCACACCCACAAGAATGGTGATAATCAGACACAAAGACAAGTGGTGCTGGTGTTGGATAGAAGGGAAAGCAGCACGGGGCTGGCGACACAGCTCAGTCAGTACAGTGCTTGCCTCTCGTGCACAAGGCCCTGGGCTCGATCCTAAGCACCAAAAAAGAAAAGAAAAAGAAAGAAATAAAGAAAGCAGTATGGCAGTTCCTCTAAAATGTCACCCCGGGGATACACCCAGAAGAACTGACAGCATGTTCACGCGAAAACTCCATTTACATGAAATGACCAGAAACGGCAAGTCCACAGGAATGAGCAGCTGAGAGGGTGCCAGGGCCAGGTGAAGGGGAGATGAGGACTGGCTACTCTTGGAGTTTCTTTCTGGGGTGAAAAAAATGATCTGGGGCTGGAGCTCTGGCTCAGGTGATAGAGTGCTCGCCTAACATGCATGAGGTACTAGGTTCGAGCCTCAGCACCACATAAAAATAAAATAGAGATATTGTGTGCATTTAAAACTAAAAAAATAGATATTTTTTAAAAAATGATCTGGGGCTGGGGATGTGGCTCAAGCAGTAGGTAGCTCGCCTGGCATGCATGTGGCCCGGGTTCAATCCTCAGCACCACATACAAACGAAGATGCTGTGTCCGCCGAAAACTAAAAAATAAATATTAAAATTCTCTCTCTCTTTAAAAAAAATGATCTGGAATTCTGGTGATGGTAGTACAGTTCTGTGAATACAAAAACTGCATGCTTTAAGATGGTAATTCGTTTTTGGCATTCCTGGGTAGTGAAAGGGTACTTTTTATGGTACATGAATGATATCTCAATTTAAAAATAAAAAAGAAGGGGCTAGGGTTGTGGCTCAGTGGCAGAACACTTGCACAACATGTGTGTGTGAGGCACTGGGTTCAATCCTCAGCACAAGAAAGAAAAGAGAAGAGAAGGGAAGGAGAAAGGAAAGAAGGAAGGAAGGAAGATCAACAACTAAAAATATTTTTAAAAAATAAATAAATAGGGGCTGGGGTTGTAGCTCACTGGTTGAGTGCTTGCCTCGAATATGTGAGTAACTGAGTTCGATCCTCAGCACCACATAAAATAAATAAATAAAACAAAGATTAAAACTTAAATAAATAAATAAATAGGAAGACACAGACCAACATCTGGTTAATAATTCTGGGCTGAGGTTTGTCTCATGAAGCCTGAACGTTCAGGGATGTTTAACCTGCAGATGGGGAGCCTAGAAAGTCAACGGGGATGGTTCTGAAAGGCCAACAAGAACAACAACACTGCCCAGGCACAGTGGTATACACCTGCAAGCCCAGGGACTCAGGAGGCTGAGGCAAGAGGATCACAAGTTCAAGCAATTTAGTGAGACCCTGTCTCAAAATAAAAAAAACAAGGGCTAAGAATGTGGCTCAGTAGTAAAGCGCCCCTGGGTTCTAAGGAAAAGAAAAAAAAAAATAGGAAGAGAGAGCATTTGCCAGCCTGTGCAAGGCCCTGGGTTCCATCCCCAGCACTGGACAAAAATAAAATCTGTTCATAATGTAGACTTGAGCAAAATTTGTCCCAGGACAAGTAAAGTTGCCTTAGGATATACTGAGTTTCTCCTGAGAGTGAAAGAAACTGAGACCCTCCTTCGATATAATGATAGAAATATGTATACATAAAAACTAGATAGTTCATTTTATCAGTTAATGATCAGTAGTGACACAATGCTCCCATCTGAATCTGACTCTTCATCATCCTTCTCACTATCCAGAAACCAACCCAAAAGTGAATATAAACTGCAGATGACATCCCCCAGCTAGCATTCTTCACATGACATCAAAGTCACCTCATATTTGTGAGGTCTGGAAGGTCTACTGTGTGCAACACACACTGGGAACAAAGGGGAGAACTAAGGGACAAACCAAGTGATAGAGTCACCTACAATGAGCAGGTTTGGATACATGTCTAGGAAGAGAACTCAACAGTGTTGATCTTAGGCAACTAACTTGACCTCAGCCATGTCACCTGTGCAGTGGAGATTGGAGTCCATCTGACTCCCTCACCCCGTGGTTCCAACAATGAGCAAGTGTTGGCCAGAATGTGGAGGAAGAGCTCTGTGCGTGGTTGGCAGTGACATGAAATGGTGAAAGGGTGCAGCCTTGGTGGAAAACAGTTGGCGGTTCCTCAAATAATGCAGTCAGCAACGCCACCACTGGGCATGTACACAAAATAATTACGTTCAGGATGGGAACAGATTATTTGCAAATCGATATTCACAGTATTAGTCACAATAGGCCAAAGGTGGCAACAGCCCAAATGTCCATTGACAGATGGCTTGATAAACAAAATGTTTTCTATACACACTATGCAATATTATCCAGCCTTAAAAAGAAGGAAATTCTGAAGCAACAAAATGCTATAATACAAGGGAACTTGGAAAGCACGCTCTGGGTAAAAGGAGCCGCCAGACACAAAAAGACCCAATATCCCCTGACTGCACCACTGCACACTCTCTGAAGCTCTCAAAACTCACCTTGGAGAAAGAGTGGAAGTGGCCATGGGGGCTGGGGAGGGTACAAGTTGTTATCTAATGGCAGACTTCAGCTTCGGCTGCAGGACAATGTCAGTGTCAATGTCACTGAAGCGTACACTTAAAAATGGTAAATTTTGTGTTATGCATATTTTGCCACACTAAGATCAGGTGAGGTCAGGTCATGAAGGGTGCTGTAAGCACCAGGTGAGAGCTGGTCCACGCAGGCAGTTTCTCTTTTCCTCCTGGACATTGCAGTAAGGCAAAAGCACTGAGCTCTGTATAAGGCCCAGAAGGCGGAGGAAACGGAGGCGCTGGCGGTGAGGCGCTCCCTGGCCTGACGCTGCAGGCCAAGGTCTGCAGGGAAACCTTCGAACGCACCCGGTGAAGGGGCATCTGGAGGTAAAAATACAGGTATGAGGGCTGGGATTGTGGCTCAGCGGAGAGCACTCGCCTAGCACCGGTGGGACCCGGGTTCGATCCTCAGCACCACATATAAATAAAGGCATTGTGTCGTGTCCATCTACTCCAAAAAATATATATTAAGAAAAACAAAAGAATATAGGTCTGAAATATAAAGGCCCTGAATGGTACCAGCAGAGGATGAAACGAGGCAGGAAAAGATTATTATGAGAAACCACCCAAAATGAGGCAATTATTGAGGAAATAAATGATGGAAATTTTCCAAATTGGATGAAAACCAGATCACAGAGCCAAGCTCAGTGAATCCTAAACGGGAGAAATACCCAGAAAATAATACAGAGACATGTTATAATAAAAGTGCTGAAAACACTTAAAGTAGCCAAAAAGATAAAAAAGACACAGATGGAACAAAGATGTCATCAGAAACTATGCAAGCCAGAGGACAATGAAGAAACCCATCAACTGGGCTGGGGCCGTGGCTCCTTGGCAGAGCGCTTGCCTAGCATGCACCACGTAAAAATAAACACATTCTGTTCATCTACAACTACAAGAAAAAAAAATACCACACCAAACTACACTCTATAACCAGAGAAAGTACCCATGACAAATGAGGCCAGGGATGAGTTCCAGGACTGTTAGTGCCAGGCTCTGGAAAGCGGCGTTTTTGCAGGGAGGAGAGCACTAGGAATTGAATCCAAGGTTCCTTATACCTCTAAGCTACATTCCCAGTCCTCCTTATTTTTTTATTTTGAGACAGGACCTCCTAAGTTACTGAGGCTGGCCTTGAATTTAGGATCCTTCTGCTTTACCTTCTGAGTAGCTTGGACTACATGCATGTACCACTGTGCCCAGCAAAATGTGGAACTTTTTTAAATTACCAAATTAATGTAAAAGAAAACAAGCAAAGGGACAAGCAGTAACAAAGAACAGAAAAACAAATAGCAACATGCTCTACTTAAACTCAATCATAACGATGCTTACAGCGTATGTTCCAAACACTCCAATGAGAAGGTAGATATAGTAGCCAGGTATAATGGAGCACACCTATCATCTCTAGGACTCAGGAGGCTGAGGCAGGAAGATCACAAATCCAAGGCCAGCCTGGGCAATTTAGCCAGACCCTCCATCAAAATAAAAAATTTTAAAAGGCTGGGGCTGTAGCTCAGGGTTAAAGCACTTGGCTGGTTTGCGAGAGGCCCTGGGTTCGGTCCATAGAGCTGCAAAAACAAACAAACCAACCCCCAAAAAACAAACAGCACATAGCCAACACCCTGTGCAACAACAAGGAGCACAGGTCTTCTCCCTGATCTCTGGAGGGACAAGGCCCTCCACCTCCACAGCTCTCGATCTCCACAGGACATCCCAGCCCGTCACAGACAGCAAGACAGAGACAAGCAACCGAACACTTGGAGAAGAAGAGCTAACACTGGCTTGATGGGGCTTTTTTGTTCTTGTTTTGTTTTTTGTTGTTTTTTTGGTGCTGTGGAATGAACCCAGGTCTTCACACCTACCAGGCAAGTGCTGTACCCCTGAGCCACAGCCCAAACTCCCAAACTGTTTTTATTCTCAGTGTCATGAAAGTAGACTAGCAAACAATGATTGAAAAGGCAGTTGACAGATCCTAGACACAAGTTGCTTGCAGGTATCGGGTTTGCAAATATTTTCTGCCAGCTTGTGACTTCCTTTTCATGCTGTTTTTTGTGCTTTATAGCCCTGGAGATTGAACCCAAGGGAGCTCTGTCACTGAACCACACCCCAGCCCTTTTTGAGACAGGGCCTCATTAAGTTGCTGAGGCTTGCCTTGAACTTGCCATCCTCCTGCCTCAGCCTCCCAAGTAGCCAGGATCACAGGCGTGCACCATGATACCAGCTCTTTTGGTATTAACTCTTTCATCATTTGGCATGTAGGACGCATCTGCACAAAGGAAGCACTCTCCAGCGGACTCTGCAGTGAGACCATAGGGACTGGACATTTTTTTCCCCACTTTTTTTTTTTAATTGGTGCATTATAGCTAGAGACTTTTGTGTCAGGATATTTGGTTTGTTTATGATACTGGTGACTGAACCCGAGGCACTTTAACACTGAGCTACATCTCCAGCTCTTTGAGACGGGGCCTGGCTAAGTTGCCTAGACTGGCCTTAAAGTTGTGATCCTCCTTCTTGAGTCACTGGGATAGCAAGGGTGCAGCAGTATCAGTTTGTCAGATTTTCCATCTTGAACTTGATTTCCTTAGCAGCTGCAGAGCTATTCAGTTCACCTGTTTCCTACTTGGGGCGGGAGGTAGTTTGCTCAGTGGAGGAATCCGTCTCTCCCCTGGGTGTGCAGGGCTGCCTGCAGTGCTCCCGTGTTACCCAGGGTCTGTAGTGATGTTCCCTATTTCATTCCTGAAGTTAGTAATTTATGTATTATTTTTCTTTATCAATATTTTTAGAGGTTTGGCAATTTTGTTCAACTTTTCAGACAACTGGCTTTTTGTTTTATCCTTTTTAAAAAATATTTTTATTAGTTATTGATGGATCTTTATTTATTTATTTGCTTATATGTGGTGCTGAAACTCGAACCCAGGGCCTCACACATGCTAGGCAAGCACTCAACCACTGAGCCACAACCCCAGCCCCTGTTTTATCCTTTTTCTTATGTTTTTCAACTTCATTGAATTGTATTCTTATTTTCTCCTCTCTATTTGCTTTTGGGTCTTGCTCTAGTTTCTTTTTTTTTTTTTTTTTTTTTTACATTTATTTATTTTTTCTTAGTTCTCGGCGGACACAACATCTTTGTTGGTATGTGGTGCTGCTGAGGATCGAACCCGGGCCGCACGCATGCTAGGCGAGCGCGCTACCGCTTGAGCCACATCCCCAGCCCTTGCTCTAGTTTCTTGAAGTAGGAAATGAGATCACTGATTTGAGCTTTTTTGGTATAAGGGTCGAAGCCAGGGGCACTTAACCACTGAGCCACATCCCCAAGCCTTTTTATTTTTTATCTTGAGACAGGGTCTCACTAAATTGCTTAGGGACTCAACAAGTTGCTGAAGCTGGCTTTGAACTTGCAATCTTCCTGCTTCAGCATCCCAAGTTGCTGGGAATAAAGGTGTGTGCCACTGCGCCCAGCTTAGTTTTTGGTTTTTGGTACTAGGAATCAAACCCAAGGGCACTTTATCACTGAACTACATCCCTAGCCCTTCATATTTTGCTTGAAGACAGGGTCTCACTAGGTTTCTTAGGGCCTCAAGATTTATTTTATGGGGGCTGGGAATGTGGCTCAAGTGGCAGCGCGCTCACCTGGCATGCGTGTGGCCCGGGTTCGATCCTCAGCACCACGTACAAAGAATGATGTTGTGTCCGCCGAAAACTGAAAAATATTAAAAAATTATCTCTCTCACTCTAAAAAAATTTTTAAAAAAAGATTTATTTTATGGCCCAAGATATGTTCTATCTTGCTATATGTTCTGTGGACACCTGAAAAAGGACACACAAGCTGGTGCTGCTGGGTGGACTGTTCTATGATATCTGCGATCCAGCAGATCCTCCGGGTTGATGGTGGTGTGGAGTTCTACCTCCTTGTGTATCTAGTTTTCTATCAATTGTTGAGAAACAGTGCTGAGGTCTTCAACTATAATTATGAAGATGTCTATTCTACTTCCAGCTCCTTTGAGTTTTGCTTTCCATATTCTGAAGCTCCGTTGTTTGGTACATAAGCCCTTAGGATTCTGTCTTCTCGGTAGAGTGACCCTTTAACCATTATATACTGTACCTCTCTGACCTTGCTAATGTTCTTGTTCTAAAGCCTACTCTTTGATATTAAGATGGTTACTCCTGCCTTTCTAATGTTCCCATGTGTATCTTTTTCTCACACTTTTCTTTTTTTTTTTTTTTTTTTTTTAAGAGAGAGAGAGAATTTTTATATTTTATTTTTTAGTTCTCGGTGGACACAACATCTTTGTTGGTATGTGGTGCTGAGGATCGAACCCGGGCCGCACGCATGCAAGACGAGCGCGCTACCGCCTGAGCCACATTCCCAGCCCTCACACTTTTCTTTTAATCTATAATTATTATATTTTATATCATTATATTGGAAGAGAATTTCTCATACATAACAGAGTTGGGTCATGCTTTTAAATTCAGTTTTTTTGTGTGTGTGGTGCTGGAGATTGAACCCAGGGCCTTGTGCATGCGAGGAAAGCCTCCACCAACTGAGCTATAGCCCAGCCCTTAAATTCATTCTGCTCTCATTTCATTGGTATATTTAGACCCTTTTCACTTAACATAATCGATATGTTAAGACTTCAGTCTGCCATTGACTGTTTTGCTTTTCATCTGTTCTCTTTTTCATTTCTGTTTTCTCTTTCAGGCCTTAGTGTGGGCTACCTGGGGGTTTCTGGAATGGATTCTATGCATGTTCTTTTTTAAAATTGTTTTAATTGTTGATTGACCTTCATTTGTTTACTTATATGTAGTGCTGAAAATCAAACCCAGTGCCTCACATGCTAGGCAAACACTCTACCAACTGAGCCACAGCCCAGCCCTCTCTGACGCCTCTCACCTGGCTCCAGACACTGCACTGCATACACGTGATCTGCTGCTGTCCGTGTTCTCCCACGTTGAGTGGGGCCCTGGGACCCGCCCCCTGTGCCACCCGTTATCCTTCCTCATCTGCCTTCTTCCTCTACCCTGAGCCCAACCTTAGGCAACACCGTCACTTTTGTTCCAACTGTAAAATGTAATTTAGAAATCTCAAAACGGTAAGGTAGTCCATTTACTTACCCATAAATATGTCTTTTTGTGTTTTCTTTCCTCCAGGGCGACCCAAGATTCCCTAATTTATAATTTGCTTTCTCTTTAAGACACTTGAACTATTCTTTAGAGCAGATCTGCTGGTGACAGACTGCCTGGTTGTCTGTCTTCTGAGAATGTCCGGTTTCCTCTCTGCCCACTCTGTCCTGCTGCTTTGACTTGAGGGGTCCTCCCTGTCCCTGCTGATGTGTCCAGGTCCTGGCTTCTCCAGACCCAGTCAGGGAAATACGAGGCAAAAGGAACTCAGGAACTCACTACCATGTCCTTCCAGGAGTCCCAGTGACCCTTTCTGGTCTGATGTCTCATTGTTCACCTTTTAGAGCCCTCTGTGGGTTCAAGTCTCCATGTGCAAACGCGGGCAGCTGCACTTGGCGAGGGAAACAGGGAGAGCGCGTCGCGTCGGGTTCACCTTCCCAGAGAGAAGTCAGGTAAATGATCTGAAAATTTACAATAACATTAGAAAATGAAATGCTTTGGAATAAATCTACAAAATGTGGGAAATCCCTATCCAATGAGAACTACAAAACGTTAGTGAGAGAAATCAAAAAGCCCAAGGAGGTAAAGAACTATACCATATTTGAACACTGGGAAATTCAATGTTGTCATTTTCTAAAATTGACCTAGAGATTTAGTGTGGTTGCACTACAAAACTACAGGATTGTTTTCCAATTAATAAGCTGATTATAAAATTCACATAGAAATGCAAAAGATTTATAATAGCCCAAACAATTTTAAAATAAAAAGAGCTAGGGATGTGACTTAGGGGTAGAGTAGCCCTGGGTTCAATTCACAGTACTGGGAAAAAAATTGTCATTTATTGAAATAAAGTTGAAAAGAAATGTAATTGACTTTTCCCTCCCTTTTAAAAATTATTTTGCAAGCTATGTTGCTGGTACCCACTCCTTCCTTTTAGAGCATTCTTTCTTTGACTTTCCTGATGCCATCTCTGCTTATTTTCCTCCCTCTCCAACCATACTCCTGATCCCTGTTATAGTTTGGATATGCAGCATGCCCATACACTCATGTTCTGATTGGATCATGAGGGTTCTGACTTCATTGGTGGATTAATCCATTGATGGCTGAATGGACTCCTGGGAAGTGGTGAGAGAGAGAGTGTGTGTTACTTGTTGGAGACTGAACCCAGGGGTGCTCTTACTGACCTATATCCCCAGCCCTTTTTATTTATCTTGAGCAAGGTTCTTGCTTTTCATGGGTATATTTAGAAGTTGCCCAGGCTGGCCTCAAATCCGAGCCTCCTACCCCAGTCTCCTGAGTCACTGGTATTATAGGTGCGCTCTGCTGAAACCAGCTATGGATCTCTATCTTGTGGCTGGGCAGTAGCAATGGTAGTTGAGCACTTGCTTGGCATACATGAAGCCCTGGGTCTGATCCCCAGCACCAAAAAGAAAGATCCTGTCTTGGGCCTGGATACTTTCTCTCAGGCCCAGGCCCACACTTTTCCCAAAAGTGAGGGACACAGCTCCACCTTGACTGTGCTGGATGCCTCCAACTGCACCAGCTCCCTGCTGAGCTCCCAGCCCACTCCCTACACCCTCCTTGGGGCCTTTTGATGGCATCACTGCCTCCAGTTGCTCAAGAAACCAGGGCATCCTCCTGGGCTCCTCCCTCCTGTCTGTTCCACAGCCATTTAAGACCACAGCTCACTGAAGGATCAAAATCCAAACCCTTCAGCAGGGGCATTCACGGTGCTCACAGTCCAGCTAAAGCCTCCTTCTCTGATTGCAACCCACAGAAGACGGTGCCATTTCTCATTGTAATGCTCTAGGAGGTGTCTTGCCTCCCTGGGTCCATGATGCTCCCTGTGTGGATGCCCATGGCTGTCGATGCCTGGTGAGCAATGCTCCTCATCTACCACCTCCATGTATTCCTTGACCCCTTGGGACCCTCACCACACCTGCAGCATCCCTCACGTGGAATCAGAACGCCCCATGTTGGAGTCTTTCCCCCAGACCTGACTCTAGAGAACCTCATTCATCCCCATCTCTACCTAGCCTGCAACAGAGGCAGGTGCTTGGCTCAGTGGGCTCCAGAGATCAGTGATGGCTGAATAAGTTAAGGAAGCTCCAGGCCACGCCCTGTACACACATCCCCAGCAACTTCAACCCAACCTTGCTGAACATTTGGAATTTTTTCCTGTTATATTTTAGAGACAAACAAAAATTCTTTTTTTTAAAGAGAGAGTTTTTTTTTTAATATTTATTTTTTAGTTTTCGGCGGACACAACATCTCCGTTTGTATGTGGTGCTGAGGATCGAACCCAGGCCGCACGCATGCCAGGTGAGCGCGCTACCGCTTGAGCCACATCCCTAGCCCCCAAAACAAAAATTCTTGAACGAGGCATCTGAAAGGACTCTCCTGCACAAGCAGTTGTCATGGAAACAGAAGGGTCACAGGACCAGCTGTAGATCACCTGCCTTCCCTCCCTGCTCCCCTGGGCCAGGAATGGACCTCCATGGCAGCACAGGGGATTCGGAATGTTGGCCCTGATTTTCCCTCACAGCCTCTGAACTCCAGGAAGACCCTGCGTCAGGAGGAGGGACAAGGAAGGGCAGCAGGAGCAAGGGGAAACCTGGGCAGCCTCCCGTGTGAAGGGCCAGCCTCCCCATGAGGCTGCCCTCCACTGCCCGGCAGCGAGTGTCTCTGCCAGGCCAGGTGGAACCTCCCAAGTCACAGGCCCTGCTAACCTGCTGTGATCTTATCCTGAGGATACAGATTGGATTCTCTGATCTTAACTAGAGAACCTCAGGGCCACAGGCCACCTTCTCTGCCCTCCTCCCTGCACCAACCCAGATCCACTCTGTAACCTGAACCCAGACACTACGCTTTGCACACGGCCTTCCTGTCAGTCTAGACAAGACTTTCTGTGAGAATGGAAATTTTTTTTTTCCTTTGCAGTACAGGGGATGAAACCCGGAACTTCACACATGCTAGGCAAGCTTTCCCATTAGAGCTATTTATTACCCCTTTTTATTAAATTTTATTTTGAGATAGGGTGAGGCTGGCTGGAACTTGCAATCCTTCTGCCTCAGCCTCCTGATTGGCTGGAATCACAGGGTGTGCCACCATGACTGGCTGGCTTAGTTTCTTCCTCTCTTTCCTTCTTTCTGGTGCTGGGGATGCAACTCAGGGCCTCACGCATCCTGTTTGGATCTTAATTGTCCCCCAAAGGCTCATGTGATGGTGCTACAAATTGATGCTGGATCCCTTAAAGGGCAGGGCTAGCTGGAGAAGCCAGGTCACAGAAGGTGTCAGAACCAAGCCCCTTCCTCTGTCTCTTTGCTTTCTGGCCACCAAGGTGACAGGCCTCCTCCACCATGAGCCTCACCATGAAATACTGAGCCGCCACAGGTCCAAAGCATGAGCCTAGCAACCGCGGGCTGAAACCTCAAGCCAGAGTAGATCTTTCCTCCTTTTAAGTTGGAATCTCAGGTGTTCTCCCACTGAGTGTGTCCAGCAGGTGATGCTACTGACACAACAGAAAAGCTGGTCACGGAGAGCAGTCCAGGAAAAGGATGGTCCCACAGAGACTCTGCAACTCTCACATCCCATCCTGGCTCAGCCAGCCGTGGCCTGCAGAGTCCAACAGCCTCCATTGCTGGGTTCCTGGATCTCCCGGCGATGGCATAATGATGAGTGAGTGACACGTGCAGCCTCCCTGGAGTAGCTGGCCAGTGACCTTCCTCCCCTATAAATTCCTGAGCAGCATGGTGTCCATCAGCCTCTGCATCCTTGCTGAGTGTGAAGGTGACCCAGAGTATAGCAAGTGCTGTTGTGGTGCCGGGCTGGGCCTCACTGGTGAGGATCCAGCCAAAGTCTGCATATGGCTTGCCAAGGTGCTGAGTGTCCCCTGGGGACAGCTGACCTTCCTAAGCTCTCTCAGCCTCTCTGCAAGTCCTTTTCCAGTTCACACTGTACTCGTCCCCAGTACTCAGCACAGGGTCAGGGGCACAAAGGAAGCTCTCACTCAATGAGGTGGGGGCTCCTCTTTTAGAAATACCCCAATACCTGCCCACGGGATGCCTTCCCTTGAACCCGCAGGTGCTGGCCCAGCAGCATGCCTGGGCGCCTGGTCATGTACCTCCACGGGAACCCACCACCCAGTCTGGCCAGCCTTTGGGCCTGTAACCAACCAGCAGCTGGCCCCGGCCCAGACAGGACTTCCTCCTCAGTCCACAGCAGCCATCTGGCTGCCCTCGGGCTCCCTCTAGCTTCTTAATGCTCTCCGGACTCATGTCACTGGCTGACATTTCTCCTGCTCATTTGTCTCCATCCTGTTGACAGAACCTAAGTATGTGTGACTCTTCACCTACATTAACAGAGCTAATGGCTCTGAGTACTCACGGCCAGCCAGGCACTACGAAGCTCACAATATAAATATTTTTGCAGTAGAAATTAAACCCAAGGGGGCTGGGGTTGTGGCTCAGCAGTAGAGTACTCATCTAGCACGTGCGAGGCCCTGGGTTTGATCCTTCGCACCACATAAAAACAATAAATTAAATAAAGGTGGGCTGGGGATGTGGCTCAAGCGGTAGCGCGCTCGCCTGGCATGCGTGCGGCCCGGGTTCGATCCTCAGCACCACATACCAACAAAGATGTTGTGTCCGCCGAAAACTGAAAAATAAATATTAAAAAAAAAAATTAAAAAAAAAAAAATTAAATAAAGGTATTATGTCCAACTACAACTAAAAAAAAAAAAAATTTAAAGAAATTAAACCTAAGGCTTTGCACATGGTAGGTAAGCACTCTACCACTGAGCTATACCCCAGACCTTTTTATTTTTTTTTTATGTTGAGACACACTCTTGCTAAATTGCCCAGGCTGGCCTCAAGTTCCGATCCTCCTGCCTCAGCCTCCTGATTAGTAGATTACAAGCAAATGCCCCCATATCCAGCCATATTTAGACTCTTTTTCTGGACATGTCCTTAGAAGTGGATTGCTGGATTACCGTCTGAGTTTCTTGACCCACCATACTACTCTCTACAGTGGTGAGGCCATTTTACGTTCCCATCAAAGAATTCCCCCCAAGGGCTCCAAGACCCCGTCTCAGTAAAATAAAAAAAAGGGCTGGGGATATGGCTCAGTGGTCAGTGCCCCTGGATTCAATGGAAGGGAAAGGAAAGGAAGGCCAAAAGCCAATGGCAGAAAAGAATCAAATACTCGAACATAATGGTTCTGAGCAACCTAAGAAAGGAGGGATAAGGACTGAGGGGACAGAAAGCAAATAGTAGCATTAATAAAAGTAACCATTTCAATAATTACATTAAACGTAGCTGGAAAAAGCAAACTAATTAAAGCCAAAGATTGTCACACTGGATAAAAAAAGGAAGACTCAGCTGGGCACAGCAATGCACGCCTGTTATCCCCACGGCTCAGGAGGCTGAGGCAGGAGAATCACAGGTCCAAGGCCAGTCTCATC